GCAGCTGAGGCACGGAGATAAAGGCGGTGTTTGCAGCCATGATCATACCGCTGTCTGAGGACATTTAGAGACATTAACTTGCTGTTTAGGAATCAGGTTTGTGCCTTTTCTTTTATCTGTGGTAGCCACGTATAATAAACCGATACATAAAATAGAAGCTTCATCCACACAAGCTGCTCCCTGCATGAAAATCATCATCATGACCAAAAAATACAAAACATGACAGGGACAAAAAGGCAACAGGTTGGCAGACATGAGACGCACAGAGGCAGAGAGAGCAGAGCAATAACAGACAGACAGGAAGCTGTGCAGGGCGAGACGAGCGCGGCGAGGATGAAAATGAGGACAGATAAATGCATCGTTCTTACGAGGGCAGATTTTCTTGCACATCAGCTTCCTCAGCATGTCTCGGCAGCAGCCTCTAACACACACTCTCGCTTTCTTCAGGCATCTCTGTCGAATGGATTGTGTGTGGCTCCGGCACACTCCCAGACAAACCAGCCCTCTCCCTGAGGTGTGTGTGTATGTGTCACAGTAACATCACTGCCGATGCTGTTGGACTAAAGGCTCTAAAAACAGGGAGGGGTCTGAGGTTATGAAGCATTTTGTATTTACTGAGCACGGTTCCTGTACGATGACCACGCTCTTGTGTTTAAATGCAGTTTCTCAAAAAGAGGTCAATAATGATGAAGCTTTGACAATATTTTCAGGGTCATAAACAAAATGACATGAAAATATTTGTGCTTTATCTGCTGCTAAGTCTCGGGGGAATCAGAGATGCTCCGACCTTCTTTATCCAGCCTCCTCCTCCAGCTCGTCTGAAGTGTTCATAAGCCAGCCGATAGATATTTCTTTCCCTGGGAGGTTGGAGGCATCCTAGCCAGTAGCCCAAAGCACCTCGCTTTTTCATGTGGAGGACAAACCCCTCCTGTATGCTCACGTTCTTCACCCTCTCTAAGAGACTTTCTACTGCTTGTATCGGTGATCTCATCCTTTGTCACTGCCCACACCTCGCGTCCATAGGTGAGCGTCGGAATGTAGATCACCAGTAAATCAATAGCTTCTCTGTGGCCCTCTGCTCTCTCTTCACCACAATAGACCAGCACAGCATCCTCATCACTGCAGACCTTCTCTCAATTGCTTACTCGACTCTCAACCCACTCATGAGCAAGACCCCTGAGAAACACAGCCTTAGCTCTGTGACTTAGCTCAGCCAATTCTCATCCCAGCCGCTTTATACTTGACTGAAAACCCCCCCAAAAAAACAACACAGTGTGAGCTGGAAGTCGAACTGACACGTCAGCCAGAACGCAGATGATGAACACAACGTCTCAAAGAGCCAAGATGTGATCCTGGGTCCATGGAAGTGTGCACTTTAGAGTAAAATAACCAGTACAATCCACACACGAGGTGCAACCAAAGAAGCTCGGTCGGTGCTGAGAAAAGACGTGCAGATGCTATTCGCTCTCTATTCTCTGTCGATCGATCTCTGTGTGGCTAAACCTCTCAAACAATGAAAAGCCATTAGCTTACTGTAAACCCTTACTTTGCTGCCTGTAAAAAAACGACGCACCCCCACGAGCATCTGATATTGGGATTCTCCGTCCCACAAATGCTGCAGGTTGAGTTCCGTTTTGTATTATTGAGGCGCGGAAACACGTGGGGCTCGGCTCAAAACGCTCAGGCTGCAGACCCACAGGGCAGATTCAAAGTGTGATGCTGTGGCTCAAAGCTCTGTGCTTTGGAACGACCTACACGTGACAATTATACACTTACTCTATGCCCCACTTGCTCCAAATAACATTAACACACCTAAGAGAGGCCAATACAGCCATATCAGACGCAACATAACATAACGTATTAAATCTGCAGTAAAGTGCCTGCTGTAGACATTCATGAATTTAAACTTTGTGATTAAATTCATTATTTTCTTTCCAAAATGTTGGACACTACAAAGACACCTGTGTACACACCTTTTAGGCCATTTTAATATCAAAGGGTTGTTAGTAAATATGGCCCCATTTGGACTTTCTTTCCTTGAGACCATGAGACATAATCTCTCCAGTGTGTCGTGGGCCTCCTCCCTTTAGGACATGACTGGAACATCTCACCCAGGAGGTATCCGGAAAGCATCCTAATCAGTTGCCTGAACCACCCTAGCTGACTCCTTTCATCTGTTTTGGGTTATTTTTGTTTCTGGAACAGCTCTTTTAGGTATGATCCTTGCAATCCATCACAGCACTGTTAGAAAGTCTGATTAAGTGGCCAAGCTACTCATCAGCGCATCTATTTTTTTTTTTTCAGGTTAAAGGGAGTAATCAGTTATCAGACATCAATTTGTAGGCCAACAAAACCAATAGCCAATCACCTAAACACACAAATCGACAAGACTTCCGCCCCCTCGCCTCTTCGTAAAGGCTAACGGCTCGCACACCTGAGGAGAAAGCACAGCGGCCCGACCACACAGACGAGAGCATTGATCACAGCTGTCAGAGCAGCTGCTGCCAGCAACGCTGACACAACGGCTGGATTGTGTGTGTGATTTACCCAGGGAGCAATTAAAGCAGCATGCAACATGAGATGAGCAGTTCTCTCTCTCTCTCTCTCACACACACACACTCACACGGAAGAGTGTGTGTCACAGCCTGAGGCGGGTCATTAGAGCATCTGAAGGTAAATGACTGGTGACAGCAGCAATCAGCCCACAAGCCTCTGGACATCACCTCCATCTTCCTGTAAAGGTTTCATCACTTGTAACAGGCGGAGGCCGTGAGGGACGTCAGCTAGAGCTGGGC